CTGTGGAGAGGTGAGGAATCCTGTTTGCGGCTGCTGGGCTGAGCACAGCAGAGCTGCATGGTGTGGCGATGTGGCTGCAGCCCCAGGGAGGGGCAGGGTCCAGCCTGAGCGAGCGCCACAGCCCCAAAAGCCTCCCTGGTGTTAGCAGCGATGCAGTGGCTCTGCTGAGCCATGTCAGGACAAGCTCATCTTCCTAACCAGGACTTGCTGGAGAGCCAGTTCCTCTCAGAGAGAATATGAAGATTCAGAATTGTTTTCAGGGATAGAAAAGTTCTTAATTGAAGTTCTTAACGGAAAAATATGAGGCAGATACCACTGTTCCAAACCAGCTCAGAGTGTAACTGGGACAGCTGCTGGGAATGAGACTGCCCAGGGAGGCTGTGGAGTCTCCCCGTCTGGAGGCATTCAAAACATACCTGGATGCCTTGCTGTGTAACCTGCTCTAGGTGATCCTGCCTTAGCATGAGGATTGCACTAGATGATCTCCAGAGGTCCCTTCCAACTCTAACTATTCTGTGATTCTATGGTGCGTCCTCAAGCCCTTTCTCTGTCCAAGGGAGAAATATTGCCAATATATCATCTTTCAGTGAACCACTTCCACCTGCTGACCTTGCAGCAAAAATTACATCACTGCAAAAAAACTTAGCATTTGCTGAACTCCTGTCTTCTGCCCCAGAGAAAGCTTTCCTGATTATTCCACCCTCCTGTCCCTGCCACTCCCGTCTTGCAGCAGGGACAGGAGTGCAGCCCAACCCTCACATCCATCCGGCGCCGTGTGCTCTACAGCAGCCCCGAGCGCTGCACGGCCGCGGATCCCTCCCGTGGCGGCTGTTAATGTGCCTGTGTACTCGCAGGGAGGGGCTGAGCCGGGCGTTTCGGAGCTGCTCGTGTCCTGGAGCTTACATCCCTTAACTGTTGTTCCAGATAAAGTAACTGTCAGTTCTGATTCATACAAACTCATAACTCTATTCTGAATCCTGCTGGGTTTTTGGCACGGAAACAGCCCGTGGAGCAAAATGCCGTAAGGGAGCTCCTGTCTGTGTAAATGGCTGGTGCTAGGCGTCCTGAGCACGCTGCCTTTAGTGTTCATTTATTTCTGAGGGATTTCAGGTTTTGGGGGAGGGAAGAGGACTCTGTCTGGCCCCTTTCCTTTCAGCACTCAGCTCTCAGGAGGTTTTCTAGTGAGAAGCCTCTCGAGACCCTGTCACCATACAGCTCCTTTCCCCGGAGCTTCAGGGCTTGCTGTCCCCATGCCAGGTTTAAGAAGCTCCTTTGGGACCCAGCAGTTGCTGGTTTTCCCTGAGTTATCCCACATTTTCTGGTTTGTGTGTCCTGTGGCAGTGTGATGCTCTGTGTGCCTGTGCTCAGAGGGAGGCCGTGTCTCCCAGCTACAGAGCATGTCCTTAGCCCTTTCCACCCATGGCAGGCAGGAGTGGTAAAAGTCAGTCTGACCCTCACCTGAAGACTATACTAGACAGAGAAAGTGAATAAAAATCAGATTTTAATCCTGCAGGCACAGCTGCATAGGACTGGGGTGGTACTGAGATAGCCATGGTACTCAGCAAACATGGTGGGGGTTTACTCAGTCCAAATTAGCTAAGTGCACCTTGTACCAGGAGATGTTCTCCTGCCAGGAGGAGCCTCCTCTTCTCTTTCTGCTAAAGTCTCCTCCAGTGTTGCAGCCTGAGTCATAACATTGCATTCCCTTTGATTAATTTCTTTTGTGAGGATATCAAAAGCCCTTGAGATGCCAATTTCATTTCTAGGTGACCCTGACAAGGGAGCCCTGAGGAGTGGGAAGCAACAAATCAGCTGCAAAACCAAGCCAAGAAATACTGGTTTCCCTGGGGCTAGAGCCCCATCAGGATCTTCCTCCCTCCACATACACCCTGCCCCAGGGATCACTGAAATGCCTGATCTCAGACCTGCCTTTTCAACTGGAAAAACTGTAGAAGAGTTGGAGCCAAGGCCAGGGTGAAGGATGGCAGCTGTGGAGTGTGATGGAGCAGTCAGCAGTCCTCAATGCCACTGGCGATGAGGACTGGCACCACACCCTCACAGGAACAGGAATTAAAAGCAAAATGGACAGGAGTTGGGTTATTTTTTTCCTCTTTAGTAGTGGCTCTTGTAGGAGTCATCACTTGGTGTTTTTCATGTGGTTGCAAGGTGTAGAAATAGGCTGTTTTAGACAAAAATCCAAGGTTTTCCTGCAGGTCTGCAAGCGATCTTGGGACATTTGGGTGCAGGTGCTGGCAGAATGGTGCTGTGGGCAGGCAGAGCCCCAAATTCACACCCCTCAGACCTGCTGCCAAGGGCTTGTTGGAGAGGAAAGTGCCGAGGCCTGTGGATCATGTGGGGATCCCCTCCTTGTTCTTCCTCTGCTCTTCAATGTCGCTCCTTGCTGCAGGCACAGGAAGGTGTTTCCAGGACATCGAGCGGCCTGGGGATGTGCAGGAAAGGGAATTGCTTGTGACAGAGCAGAGGACTCTGCTTGCTGCTGGCAACACATAGGACAGGCAGGAAGAGGAGAGCTCTGAGCTGCTCTCCTCCAGGAGATGACCTGGTTTTGGTGGCGTGGGCCCACCCTGGCCCCTTGCTGAGGTGCTGTGGAGTATTGAGGGGCTTGTGGGAAGAGGCATTTGAGTACACATGGTGAGTTGGGCACACTCCTTTGCTATGGTAGTTTAATTCTGGTCTGGTGAACAGGATCTGTGATGGCTCAGGCAGAGCTCCTGGAGTTGTTTGGTGTGCCAGGGCACAGGCTCCCCTTGTCCTGGTGCAGTGCAGGGTAGGCACATGGGGACAGGAGGGATGAGGGCAAGCAGATGTGACCTAGAGCCAGACAGTGTCCTGGCTGTGGCCATTGCTGCCTGTCTTCCATGGCTGTGCTGTGAAAAACCACTGCATTGGTGGCTCCTGTAGCTTTTTGAGCCACTCTGCTTTTGCCTTAGATCCTGTCTCTCATGTCCTCCACATGTGCTGTGGCTCTCCAGTGTATTAGTCCATTGTCTCCTGCATCACTGCCATGTTTGGGACCTGCAGACATCCAGGGACACCCTCACACTCGTGGTGTTTCCAGAACAGTGAATTCTTGGCAAACTCCTGCTTTACCTGGGCAGCTGAACCCACCTGGACCTCAAATAAGTGCTCAGAAATGCAGAGGACATGCTGATTCCTGCAGAGTCCAAGGACAGACCCAGGGGCTACTGTTCTGCTCCCATGAAGGACTGACTGAGGGCTGTGCACAAAAGCTGGGAGCCTGCCTAAGCCCTTGCTGGTGCAGGTAAAATTGGTGCCTGATTTTAACTCACATTTGCCACCTTCTATACCATCCTGGGCACAGCTCTGTTCTCCTCTGGGCCAAGAGTGGCTGTTGCTGAGGGCTGCTGCCCACCCAGGCAGCTGGAGATGCTGCTTGCTGTGCTTTCCTCCAGACTCACCGTGCACTTATGGCCCTTTTCTCCTCCTCATTGATTTCAGCAGAACTCTTACAGCTATGCCCATTTCCAAGCCGGGTTGTGTCAGCCTGACCAGTGCTGCAGGGGCAAATCCACCCCCTTGCCTAGGATGGCCACAGAACACCTTAGCTTGTTTCACAGCTGCACTGCACTGGGAGCTTAGTGGATCCTAAAATCCTCTTAGTGTCTGCTTTCCTGGGAAGAGTCCCTGGCACAGGTCTGCTGCACCTGCTCCCCTTTAATTCAGGCTGAATTAATGCCATGCTGCTCCAAGGTGCCCAGGTCAGCAGCAGGCCAGGTTGCTCCTCACCATTTTGCCATGCACTACGTAGCCTTCATGCTGATTGTACATTTCCTTGCAGAGGGATGGTTTGGGGCTGGCCCAGTCCCAGCAGTCAGGGAGCTCCCCCAGACAGGCTGTGATTGGCTGGGAGACCCTGGTGACGATGTGCCGGAGATGCCGTTTTGTTTGCCCTCGTGCAGCCGTGTGGTGCCGGGGTGGCACCAGGGCAGTGCATGGTGGTAAATCAGCACACAGGGCTCACTGCTGCCTGCAGAGACACTTTTGTCGAGCAGGTTTGTGGTGTGGGTAGAGGAGGCAAGGCGGGTGGCATTATGTGCCAGAGCGTGGGCAGCTCCCCTCGGCGTCCCTGCCCTTTCCTGGGTGCAGCTCATCAAGATGCGAAGGCTGTACCTACTCCCGGTGCGGTGCCTTGTGCGTGCTTCTCTCCCTCCTGGGATTTCCCTTCCCTACCGAGAGCAGTTCAAAGCACATGCCAGCACCCGGAGAGCTCACCGCCAGACCACGGGCTGCCCGCCCCCGGGGCTGCCCGCCCCCAGGCTGCCGCCGCAGCAGTCTTACCTGCGGGGTGTTTGCTGTCCCTCCAGCAGAAAGGGACAGGGAGGTGACTTGTTACTCTTCTGGGCACAAACCTCTTGGTTCTTCCCTAACTCAGGGCAAAAATACCTTCAGGGCAGCCCAGCCAACATCATTACTATTTTTAGCCTTCCCAGCTGATACAGGGTGAGGAGCTTTTGTACTTACTGTAGTTAGTAAAAATGTCTCCTTACCTTGACAGTCACAGGCTTTGTGTTGGCATTTCCCTCCCCATGTTCCCTGGTGTCTCTTTGCTCAGCACGGAGTGTGCAGGATGGAGGCAGGCGGAGGTGACCCCTCTGGGAG